TATGAAAGTTTACTGCACTTTAGATTTTCTGTTTTTTACTGATTTGAAAAATTTGTCAAAATGCTTTTTGCACCCCTTGAAAATCTTTTTCCCAATCAAAAATTTTTTTTAATTTTTTTGCAAAGCCCTAAAATTAAGAATTGAGCTCTCTGCTTCTGATTCTTAGACCAATATCCATATCTCAATACTTTTATTGTTTCAAAATCCATCTTTTCAATACAATTATCCCCACATGAACATTCAAACAAAAGAGATCTCATAATGTTTTTTCTGGCAGTCATTCTTTGAAGCAACTTGCTTCCAGATGCAAATGACTCTTCTGAAAAGATATAAAAAAAATGAATTTGAGTCCATATCAAACTGTAAATTCTATCAAATCTTGTTTCATTTAACCCATTACGTTATATACACGCCTTTTAACGCCTTTTTCACCCCCCCCCTTTTTTTGTTGTCTCAAATGGTGAAAAAATGCCTTATTTAGGCCCCCAACACTTGTTTTTGTTTGAGAAATGTTGTTAAAAAAAGTGACCTGTTTTTCGGCGCGGCCCCCCCAACCAAAAGATACATCAGGGGCACATCCCCCTTCTGTTTGGGGGGTTTGAAGGGGGGCGGAGTCCCAAGAAAATTTGTGACTTGTGAGAGGCTATAAATGACCCCAGATTGATCATAAGGTAACGTGTAACCAACGCTGAAAAGCATTTGACTCTATCTCAATCCATTGAGAAGTTGCAGCACTTTGAAATCAATTTTGATGGAAAAAATCAACGCAAAATAGTGATTTTTGGCAATTTTGAGATGTCCCCTGGTAACAGAAAATTTAAAGCCTGAGCATGTTTGGTTGCAAGGGCAATGGTCCAGTCAAACATTTGTGCCAAGTCGTTGCCATGGTAACAGAAAATTTAAGCCTGAGCATGTTGTTGCAAGGGCAATGGTCCAGTCAACATTTGTGCCAAGTTTGATCATTTTTTAGGGCTTCTTTTTATAGTGGTAAATAATTTAGTAAAAATTCGAATTTTGCGACTTATCGGATTTTGAAATTCAATTGTATTGGCGGACAAAAAAACGACGGGTTTGACAGACAAAAGTTGTGTATTCCAAACAAAAGAAAAAGGTAGGCAAACATTATAATATTGTTTTTCAATGCTAATTTACCGCATGTTTGCAGGGATTCGATGGTTTATTTGATCATTGAAATGTTTGACTGGTAAAACTTAATGTCACGTGATTTCCGCGAGAATAAATATTTTTGTTTCCACGTAAGAACACTTTATCATTTGCTATAGAACAGTCTGTATAATCGGATCATTTTACCCACACTATATCGCCATGCCAAATAAATGCACAATCATGGTAGGAAATATCCTAGCAATTGAAATCAATAAAAAGTTAAATGCAGTACGTAAGACTCTTATTATTCAAATGCTGGTAAATAAAATTTTCCTCTTATTTCTTATCAACATGAATTTCACTTATATGAGGGGCCAGTCATTTACACATGTATCAGATGCAGTTTGATTTTGATATCTGTGTAGTTGTTAAACTACTCGTTGTTAATTGTAGTACTTTACCCATACTGTAAGCATACCATGTGTTTCTTATATTATGATAATGATTCATGGCATTTGATACATGTAAATGATACGACTTTTGTAAGATATATCTGAAAGCACATTGTATTTGACTAGCTATCTTTTTATTAATGTAATCAAACAACATATTATCAATCAGAAAACACATTATCATAGTTATAAATCAATAAAAGTAATAGTTTGTTAATTAGCCTGCTTATCAACAAGTTGTATGCTCGTATCATAAAATGTTTTTACACTAAGCCAGTCTGTCCTATATACACTTAGCAGACCATATCATGCTGGGCAGAGATGATATCTATAAAAATGACAGTAACATGTGAATTTCTTTGATGTTGTATGAGCATTTGTACAAAGTACTTTGAATATAAAAAATAACAATATCAATTTTTGCGGGAGTAGAATTAATTTGGTATTTGTTATATCAGTTTTTCATGCGCTTATGAGTTAACTAATATTAATAGTAATTTGATTTTGCCTATTGTATTAGACAAACATCCTTTCACCACATGGTTAAATTCTAAAACGATTATACTTCGTCTTTCAGATTGTGAAAATTATGATAATTCAACATGTGTCAAAAGTTCATGAGGAAGATGAAAATATTTAGAGGAAAAGAAAACTGAAAACCTACCAAGATTTTGTGACAGGTATATTTCTTATTACCCTTGATTTTATAATGAAATTCTTCACGAAGCCATTTTTATCAAAATTAATTAATAGATATATACAGTAGGTACACGAAACTACATGGTTTAAACTAAATTAAAAATAATAAGTGCATGAATCTTTTTAAGTAGTTGGAGAGTTTTGTTAGAATTTCGTTTGATTATAATATGTAAAAGTGATTTATTTCTTGCACTTGTAACTGATTATTTTATTTTTTTTAATTTCAGAAAGTGTGATGAGATCTCAGGTTGGAGACGGTAATGATACGCTTAAAGTATGCCCCAGATCGACATAGTGGAGGAGGACGAAAGAAGCTAGAATACTAATGAAGATACATGAACATTGCTATTTATAGTTATAACAAAATATTCAGAATATTGTTCCATTTAACATTCAGATCTAGATTCAGTTATAAAATACAAAGACAAATATACATTTAGTGAGTTGGATAGATGATTGAAAAATCCCAAACTCAGAGTGATCAGTTCAGTGGTGATATAAGAAAAAACACATGCATGGATGTTTGCTATATAAAATGTCAGTGTTAATATTCAAGAAGGATTTTGTTTAACATGTGAAGCGTTATTAAAGTACACCGTCAAGTTAAATAGTTTCAAAAAATATTATGTAAATCTTGCATTTGTTATATAGTACATGTACCACATTTCTTGTTTTGTACTTGTGATTCCGAGTATAAAATAAATTGCTAAAATCATAAGAATGCTTATTTTTAACCCTATTAAAGAGCTTTAAAATGAAAAAAAATCATATTCCAAAAGTTTTGAATGAGGTTAAATCATGGTTAGAAAATTTGGTCAGATTAGGTTGGCATATTGTCAGATAATGGTCAGAAAAGGTTGGATTATGGTCAGAAAAAGGTTTGATTATGTCCAAATAATGGTCAGAAAAGGTTGGATTATGGTCAGATAATGGTCAGAAACGGTTGGATTATGGTCAGAAAAGGTTGGATAAAGGTCATTTTATGACGTTGTATAGACGTCGGTTTCTGACGTCTAAAAAACTTTCAAATCCAACCTTCTGCCAACGTTTACCCAACGTCAGGGTCTAACGTCAGTACAACGTTGGTACAACGTCTTTTGTTTGCTGGGGATTAGTGTTGAAGCAGTTGTTATAGTATTATAGCAATTTGAACTTGTAACGGGAGACTTTTCAATGAAAACAGCCATTTTTCACAAAATGCTCATGAAGTAATGGGTTAATAAAGACAATCAACAAGCAAAAAAGAAATGGTCATTGCTCATCACATAATATGATATCAACATGCTTCTGTACATCAGAGCCTCGGGCTTATACTTTTTTATCATGTTTAGTTATATATATACTTAGAAGGAATATGTCTGCATAGAATTTGCAGACCAACTGTAGTTGATGATTTTGAATGAGTGGGAACATATAAATTATATAGTTTATGTTCATGGACCAAAAAAAACAACTTCCAGAACCTCTCAAGAATACCAACCACTTTGTTCCTGATATTTTAAGTGCATATTGTTTGATATCATCAAAACCTGTCTCTTGCATACTGAGAATGCAGTCAATGCACACACAATATATATATAGTATATACCTCTGATAGATTTTCTGTAAGTTTCGGGAGATATATGCAATAAGTAGTGATTAAATTTAATTTGGGTCTATGAAAAAAATATACTTATATTTTCTACATTGTTGAATCTATGATTACTTTTTATGTTGTTTGTTTTGTTTTAAAATTGTTTTGCACTTATTTTGGTATTGTCTATATACTCTTTTTAAATATTATGTTATAATATTATAATATTTGAAATCCATTAGGTTTAAAATCAATAAATAACATTTCATTGCCGTAAACACAATACAAATCCTGACAAAACAGTGTTTCTAAGTTGGTTTAATCATCTGTCTGGACATTTTGCAAACACTTGAGCATTTTCATTAAAATATACTGCAAAAATAAGGAAATAGTAGGTCTAAAATAATTGCAACAGTAGGAATCAAACCATGACACCCTTCATATAACATAAAAATCACTTAAGGTTTGAGTCTCACTGTGCTATTGACCTTTTCGAAAACCAAGCTAAACACCGTTTTCCGGTACGTTACGGATTTAGCTCTCACCAGGGAAATTACACCAAATGAAGTACATAACACAGTTACATGATTTTCTATTTTTCTATCATTATTTTACCGTTTCATTATTTTACCGTTTAAGGTGAAAAAAACTGATGTTTTTTACATAGTACTTGTAACAGGAGGCTTTTCAATGAAAACGGCCATTTTTCACAATATGCTCATGAAAGAAAGGGTTTATTCATTATTACAGGTACAAACTTGCAGCTTAGCAGAGCCAAAATTTTACACTAAGCCAGCTGTAAACCTCTCACATACTGACCAGTGAAAATATTAGAAAATGGGAGTCACAGAGATGATCAACTTAATTCTAATAATGCTAATGTCATTCCATAAATATCTATGTCTTTCAGAACATCACAACACGAGCGACCACTCGTTTTTTGCACAAAATGGGTTTTTCTCCAGTTCCCATCATTTTTTTACCCTTCACTCAAGAAAATTCACTTAATCGTTTGAAATTAAATTTTCAACCATTTTACAATTTCATTAAAATTTTTAATGTTCTTTATATTAACAATTGTCACAAAAAGGTTTAATTTTTGATATTACAGGTAGGATAACATTGTGTGTAGGAAGTAGATATACCAGAATAATTTCCCAAACATAGATAATTATTTTTCTGAAATTACATTATAATTTACAGCATAAAACTTGTAATTATTACATAATCATATTATATTAAAAACTGTATGGTGTAAGTCACCCTGCCCTTTGTGCATTTATGCAAATTAGTTGGGGGTCATTTATGCAAATTAGTTGAGGGTCAGCAGAGTGGCACACTGTTTATTCAGAATTGCACAGCTGTCAAAACATGGTCCAATCAAGGAAGATTGGTGGCACTGTTTTATGACCATAACTATGATATAAAGTGTTTTATAAGCTGATAAGATCTATTGTTAATTGTTTTTACATTTTTTTTGATTTTTTACATAAGACAAAGTTATGTCAATGGCACTTTGCTGATACAAAGTTTCCTGTCAGTTGAAATTTAATTGGTCAAATAATTTATCAAATTAATTAAAACTAACCAAAATTCACATTGGTAATTCCTAACAGAATTTTATTAATTTTTGATAAATCATTTTGAAATTTCTAAAGATGCAGAAGAGTTTACGTTCAAGCTGCACACCTCCAGATGAGCCAAATTATTTCAAGAAATTCAATTTTTAAAAAAATGTATTAAGATCTTTAGAAAAGTAACAAGATTCAATATTTAATTGATTTTTTACATCTTATGTGCGTTTAAGGACTGATTTTACAATATCAATTACTTTAATTCTACTGCGTTACTAACGCAGTAAGAGGTATTTATGACCTCTTTTTTGGTAATCAATGTGAATTGTAATTGCAGTTTGCAATGTGTAAATTACTTTCTTTGTTCATTTCACAATATTTTACTTTTAATTCCATTTTCAAAATTTTCATGAAAATTAGCATGAATTGGAGGCATGCTGCTTTAAAACCATCTGAAAAGTGACTGAGCTAATGCAAATAATGAATGATGCTTTAAAGTGTAAAAATCTGTATGGAAAACAGACATCATCATCCTCTTTATTGAGAAATAAAGATTTTTGTAACACTAGTATTATAAAGATTTTGAATTTTCCCAAAATTACCTATATGGTGACATTATATTGATATAGGTCCATTGTTAAATGCATATGGAGTAAAGGGATGATTATTACACATGATAAAGATCATGTCCGAATAAAGTGCAAATTTATTAATAGTTTACAATAATTAATGTGATATTTAAACAGATATGTTAGATTTTAAGAAAACGGAACAAACTGCATAAAATATTCAAACAACACATTTTTTATGTTCTCCCTTTTTTAACACATACAGGGAGTGGGGTGATGGACTGGAGGCAAATGTCATCCCATCAAAATTCCGAGGGTGGAAAATCCACAGTCTTTCAAAACATATAAAAGGGCAAATATGTAGAGAGAGGAGGGTGGGGGGAAATATCCTTGAACCTATTTTGCTGTATGCCATGAAATAATATCTATATAATCCTATAAACATCATGCTAATTACAGCTGAAAATCAAACATGTAAAGCCAGTACATTGAAATAGATGTTATACATGAATAGTTATATAATTACTTACTGATTAAAAGACATTTTGCTGAAACTGGTTTTGGGGTTGCATAGACTTTTTCAATGTTCTGAAAGCTGACACTTCTCTGAGGTGTACTTGTCACAGTTGGATGAAAGTCATTGTTTGTTGATTGACATAGAACTTCAGATTCATCAGTTTCCGAAATATCCATTAAGGAACAGCCAAGATCATCAATGTCTGATGCATCAGATTCTATAACAAGACCATCAGATTCCATAGACACATCAGATAGGGATTGCAAGGAATAACACTCAATACTGCTAGCATACTCTGATTCCTATAAACAAAAAGTAACTTTAAATTTCCTGAATCTATGATTATAAAATGTAAGACAGTATAAACTGTTACTAGAATGTTCTAGATCACTGTGTAACAAACTTAGCTTGTTGCCGTTACTGTCTTAATTATAGTGGAACATGAACGATAATTTGGACATTTAAATAAATTTACCAACTTTATGTTCTACATTTCTATATTTGTACTATTTTTCAATGATACATGGGCTGGTACTGGTGGAAGTATAGAGGTTCATCCATAGAAATTTAATTTATTTGCATAAGAAAAAATGGAATTGTAAAAGTCTATTTCAATTTAATAAGTCATCATAAAGTTTTAAATTTAAACTTATTATAATAGCTAATGTTTTTTTGTGTGTGCATGATTTTTTTAATGAAATAATTTAAACTTTGTCAAACAGAGCAATTTTAAAATATATATGAAACATAAATATGCAAAATGAATTTTAATTATTAATATTAAAACTAATAAAAGATAATAAAACTGATAGTTCTTGGTAAGTTACACATAATATGCTACAAGATTTACAATATAACTGGACCCCCCCCCCATGACCTGGAAGGGCCTATGATGATGGACCCTCGTTAAGTCTAGATTACATAAATACATACATACCTAAAACAATATACAGAATTGAGATCTTGCCACAGATAAGGGGAGTTTAAGTGTGATAGCCAACTTAAACTATTATGCAAATTAATTTTATTTGTCAATAGCCCAGGGGCAATATTAAACTAACAGCAAAATCAACACAATCACCCTTTAATAAAACTTGATAAAAAAGTAAATTGAATATAGGTAATAAAACCAACATTATTATTATTAAAATAACTTTTCTTAATAACATCATTCTTTAACATTCTCTCTCACTTCCTCTTAAAGTATAAACTTGACTTTAATTTAGCATTATACAGATTATAAAGTATCATGCATCAAATTCAAAAATCCCCCCGTTTTCTGCTTTAGTTATTTTGAATTTTGAAAACTAAGTTAGCAGTTTTTTCGATCATGACCCATAACTAAGTTTAGCTAAATATAGCTTTGAAAACAGAAAATAAAACTAACTGTTTTTTTTACAACAGATATGAAAAAAATTACAATAGTACTCACCACTTCTTGATCTGGACGACCTGCATCCGCAACTAATGAATTACTCGCCAAAACAAATATGATCAAGCTTAAAGAAAGCATCTTTTCGTATTTAACTTTCTCTCATTAAAGACGCCGTGAAAATTAATTAATGAACGGTGGCATTGCATGACGTAATTAGAAGGAAGAGTGCACTATGGGACTATGGGTAAGCTAGGTTTTATTGCGAACAGGACATTTATAAACATTAAGTTGACGCATTGCTTTTTCGCAAAAAACGAAGGAAATTATTTGTCTTATAATCTAATTCTTATCTTAGTGACAAAACTCTGTTTTAAAGGTAATAATAAATGTTCTAGATGTTTCGGTAACTTGATTTACCTACGGGAAAATGAACGAGTCCATCACATTCGCCGTGTATGTAAAGGGTCAACGCGGCTTCCGCAGTCTGATTACACTTCAGACCCCCTGCGTTACACATTGTTTTTAAATTGCACGACGAATTAAAGAAGATGTGGTACTTGAGCGTTGTTTCATCAAAGTTATTTTTGTATGAAGGAAAGTCTTCAAAGGAGGTCAAGGGTCTCAAGCCATCAGAAGCAGGATCCGTTTTGGTAAGAAACACTTACATATTTAGAATCTGTTTTATTTAATTTATCTTGAAGTAAATCTCAATTGCAGCATTGACATACAGCTAATTCCTTTCCAGAAAGATGAAGTTTACATTTTTATATGAAAGATATTTCAGTTCAAAAAGAATTTTTTTCACAATTGAAAATCTTTTCTGTAATTCATCTGGGCTAGGGTAACTAACAAGTAAAACACTAAAATTATGTAGTAGTACTACCAGTAGTATTGCAACTTTTTTTCATTCACATTTGTTTATTTTAAACCAGGAAATAATGTCAGGATTGTCTTTGCATTTATTTAAACGAATAAAAAAGAATCGGGTCTGACAATCATAATTTATATGCTGGAATGATACCTAGTGTAGATATTTGGATACCATGGCCTTTTATTATTTTAAAAGTTATTTTTTTAGAGTAATCTAAATGTTTGGAAACATGTCAGTCAGTCAATGAATTATTGAAACAATATAATATATTTATGTTTTTAAAGCAGCAAGCCTCCAGATTCAATTGCTAATTTTTATGGAAATTTTGAAAATGTATTTGAATGTGTAATATTGTGAAGTCAATTAACACATAATCAATGGCACTTACAATCCACGTAAATTACCAAAAAGTGGTCAAAATATGCATAAATAGCCTTTACTGTGTTAGTCAGGCAGTAGAAATATGAGTAAATTAATAGTTGTAAAAATTGAAAAATCAGTCATTAATGGCACATAATATGTAAAATATTACTTGAATCTTGAAACTTTTTACTTTTTCCTTACATCTTTTGACTCATCTGGAGGCAAGTAGCTTTAATATGCATTTCTAACTTTATTAGGTTATCAGTGATATTAATTTATCAGTGATCTCCCCCTGTAAATTAATAGCTGTATATACATGTATTATTAAGCTTTTTACCCATAATTACTATAATTTAAGGGGGGGGGAAAGGATCCTTTTCATTAAAACAGAATATAATTTCAACCACAGAAAATATTTGACTCTTATGTCTTATAAAAATTGCACCATGCCAGTGGTATCATTTAGCCTATATTATTTTAATTATATAGATATTAAAGTACAGTGATGAAAAACAATTAAACAACAAATGCAATCTGATAATGTAGTTTCTTATATGGATAATACTGGAGTAAGAAAAAAAGGTTTTAAGGACTTTTTTCATGAAGTAGCTTCTTCAGAACTTGAAGTTAGTGCTCAACCTATATAGTGAGCTTATATTATGTCATTTAATCCTCACTCTTACATATCAGTCGAAACTTCTATTTATCAGAACGTGCAACATTCCATGTACCTAGATGATGTAAAAGACTGTTCCGTACTATAAAATAAGTATGAAGACATTTCTGTTTATCATGCTCGGATAATATACCGCTCGATTAATTTAATTGCTATTCTTTTCATTATCTGTTTACATCAATTACTGACAAAAAGTGGGGTGCCGATAATTAGTCCCCTACCGGTTTAACCGGAGGGGACTTTAGGTTTACCCTCCGTCCGTCTGTCCGTCTGTCTGTCAGTCTGTCAGTCCGTCCGTCATCAAAACTGGATCCCGCGATAACGCCTATGTTGAAAATTCTGGTTGCTATGGCAACAAATAGCCTGGATTTCAAGATTTCTGATTTAAATTTTTCAGCTTTTTCACTATAAGTTCTTTATTTCTTAAGGTGTTTACTTCAAGCTTTAAATATAAGTTTCTGGTCATCAACCACATCATATGTGACAAGGTTTACAACTCTAGCACAAAAATTATCAGTATTACCTCCCTGGAACTTAGAATTTTTTATGAAAAAAAAATGTTGTCTTTTTTAAATAACTTCTTTATTTCCTAATGTATCTACTTCAAACTTCATATATATGTTTCTTATTATCACTCAACATTTTTGAGAAGGTTAAATACTCTAGCAAGACTATTTCCAGAATTATGTCCCCCTTGAACTTAGATTTTTTTCGAGAAATTGGTATTTTTTACTCCAACTTCTTCATTCCTTATAGGATTTACTTTAAAATCCCACATCGTAATAATATGACAAGGTTGTATAAACATAATTTCCTTACTAGGCAGGGAAACTTAACACATTACTGTGAAATAGACAAACTTAGAACTCAAAAGATTTAAGTTCATTCATGTCATTCATTCACTGGTAAAATTGAAATCAGAATGTTGCTGGGGTTCTAACCGGTAAAGTAGACTATTATTATTAATAAAGTGTAGGGTTTTGTCAACTTTATGAAATAAAAGGTGTGGGTTTTGTTTCATTTAAACGTGTGGGTTTGTCAATCTATAATTTATTGGATGGGTGTTTGGTCCATCTTTATAAATTTGAGGTTAGTTTTTTGAGTTCTTGTTTGAAAAATGTCAGTGTAAATGTTGTTGAAACAAATGTGCATTATTTTGTTTAACGCAAGCTAATTAACTTGAAAAAATTTGAATTATTGAATTTTATATTTAGTAATTAAACTTATTTCCATGGCTTTCCATGGTATATATTACCCAAAAAGTGGTATATCCTAATACCCTGATATTTGTTATCAAGGCAGAGAAAAATTGTGAATTTGTTTGTTAAAATTGAAAAATGCAGTTCGTGAATATAATGTAATATGTAAAATATTTCCACTTGAATCTTGAAACTTTTTAGCTATTGACTCTGTTTTGGAAGCAGAAATATGCACATTTGAAGGACATATTTTAATTACTTTCAAATACAGGAATACTATCATGTATTTTTATAGTTTGAAATTATTTTTGTCAAAAATGATTGTAGTACTTCAAATGAATTATAACACTTTTACTTTGATGAATTGGCAAATCTGGTAATCAGTCTAGTAAATCAACTGTTTATAATAAAAAAAAACAATAAGCAGGTCAGAGTTTACTATAGTACATACGTATTTACATTGAAAGCCGCGCGACCAATTCATTTTGTAGATATTTACTAATCAACTTTAACCTATACAAAAAGGGAATTTAGAAATATGATTTAAATAAGCCTTAAATTGTTACCGTGCAAAGCCTGTCAAGTCGATGATTATTCAAATTTCATTTTTATTCAGGTTTCATTTGAAGACGGAACAAGGAAAAGTTTTTTTCTGAATAGATTTGTTGCAAAGAGTATTTTGAGTAAGAAGCTGAAGAAATTCCAAACAACAAGATCACTCTTCTGCAAGAAAACAAGGGATTACAGTAAGTGCTTATTCAATATTTAAAAAGCATAGGATTATTATTATTTTGGTTTAATAATTTTGAGAACAATTTGATAGATTAGTTGGAGGTGACCACCTAGTTATAACCAACTCCCCTATAGAGACATGACATGAATTACTTGAACTGCTATACCCTTGCAAGAGGATAAAATGTAATCAGCAAAATAGCAAATATATATGTTCCTCATTATCAACCACATATTATTGTGACAAGGTTCATAACTCTAGAAGCAATATTTTCAAAATTATCTTTCCTTGAATTTTCCTTAAAGATATTAATTTTTAACTCTTACTTCTTTATTTCTTAAGGGGTCAACTTCAAACTTCAAATATATGTTCCTTATCATTAACAACATCATTGTCATGTGACAAGGTTCACAAGTCTCGAACCAATATTTTCAATTATCCCATGAACTTAGAACAATTTTTACTCTTACTTATTTATGTCTTAAAGTATCAAATTCCAAATGTATGTTCCTTATCATCAATCACATCGTTTGTGACAAGGTTCATTATTCTAGCACCAGTATTTTCAGATCTATCTCCCAATGAACTTAAATTTTTCCTTACAAAATGTTATTTTCTACACTAACTTCTGTTACTTCTCATTTCTTAAAGCTGCACACCTCCAGATGAGCGAATATATTTCAATAAATCAAAGCTTGGAAAAATGTACTAAGATTTTAGGAAAAGTATAAAGATTAAAAATTCTAGTAATAATTTACATGTTATGACCGATTTTTCTGTATTTATAACTATATTTTCTCGTTACTAAGGCAGTTAGGGCTATTTTTGAATATTTTGACCTCTTTATGGTAATTTACATGGGCTGTAAGTGCCATTGATTAAATTGCATTCATTTGGTTACTTCACGATATCATACTGTTAAATACATTTACAAATTTTCATGAAAAATAGCATGAATCTGGAGGCATGCTGCTTTAAAGAATGACACATTCAAACTTCAAATATATGTTCCATTTCATCAATCGCATCATATGTGACAAGGTTCATCAAGCTAAGCAATATTTTAAGAATTATCTCCCCATGAACTTAGATATTCATTAAAAATGTTATTTTTACTATAACTTCTATTTTTATTAAGATGTCTTCTTCAAACTTTGTATACAATTTACTTATCACCAACCACATGATGTTTGACAAAATTATAACTCTAACATGAACTTTTCCAGAGTTATTGCCCGCATAGACTTGGAATTTTTTTAATGGAAATTGAAATACTTTGCTCTAACTCTTTTATTTTTCAAAGGCTTAGCTTCTGTTTTTCCAGATTTATCTCCATTTAATTTTCTAACTTGGAATTTATTTGAAAATTGTTATATGTAAAGAAATATCTTTTTTATTAGCTCACCAGAACCGAAGGTTCAGGGTGGGCTATAAGTATCAAAGGGGATACTCTGGCGTCCTTGGTCCGTCGTCATGCATTAACATTCATATTCTTCTATGAAACAGATGGGCAGATTTACCGCGTCTTTTTATTTTCTTCCTACGTGAGAATTCTGGTTGCTATGGCATCAAGTAGACTGAAAATATGGCAAATTAAATACATGAACGGGATCCAGTGACGCAAAAAGTACCAAAAATATTTTATGAAACTTGAAATATCTACATCAAATTCTGAATTTGTTCCCGGCCCTAATTACTTCAAACTTCAAATATAAGTGGTCATCAACCACATCATATGTGACAATGTTTACAACTCTAACACACACACATTATTAGAATTACCTCTCTTGAACTTAGAAAATGTTTTTAAAAAGGTGGCGGGGGAAATAGAAATAGTCTACGTCTGTCTGTCCAACCTTCTGTCCTTCCATCCTTCTGTCATTCCGTCCTTCTGTCCGACATTTTTGTCCGGAGCATATCTCAAAAAGTATTTGAGGTATCAACTTGAAACTTCATAGGTGGATAGATAATATTGAGGATGTGTGCAGTGCACAAGAACAATAAGTAAGGTGTTGAGACGCCAAGAAAACTTGTCCCCTTCTTTTTCAAAGAAATGGTGTCTTTCAGTGGGTCCATCACACTTACGAGGGGTTATCCAAAAATTCATGAACTTTTTAGATATCTTTTGAATGCCAACATGTATTGTAATGAATACCTTATAGAACATTATCAACACTTTTTGAAAGGAACATTAAAATTTTAAATAAATACCTCAATAAATAATGAATTTATACTGCTTTTAAAATAAGCACTTACATGGCACCCGGCGCAGTAAGTCACCATATTTTTTTTCTAAAAATCTAATAATTAATTTAGAAAGCTCGCTAAACAGTGCATTTTTTTCTATGACGACATTTAAGTAATTCTTTAAAACTATGGACATCATTTCCGTAAATATTTGTTGATATCACTAGGAAAGCCAGAAGCTGATATTTTGGAAAATGACAAACACGCGGAAATAAAAAAATCGTGCAATCATAAAATTCTATTATATGGGAATGACACCTACAAAAACATTTGAAAAGAATCAGAAGGCAAACAGGGAAAATAAAATTTCATGATCATTAGTGTTTAAGTGGCAATAAACATTTAGTAATGGACATTACTTTGAGAAGCAGTAACGGTCATTGACTGATTAATGTTTAAGCACAAGTTGTACATTATTATGACATTGACGTTGAATAATGTTTTGGAGTGCGCCTAAGAGTGTCACGGACACTTGTTTATGTAATATTGAATATTGTTGTTATATAAGAAGCTACTTACATTAATTTTTCTTTGTTTATTTGTAATTTATTTTTCTAAGCAGTGTAATAATTACAAATCAATATATAAAATATATTTTACGGAACAAGGAAAGTCTACAAATTTTTGGATAACCCCGCATACAAGTCTTGTTCATTACTAAGCCATTCATCAAAGGAATTTGAAAAAGCTTGTCACAAATGTTTGTTATAATGAGACAATGTGTCTTGCGCCACATCCAATTGCCCCTTGTAACCACAAATATCAAAGGGGTCAAAGCATAACATGGTCTTTAGCATTGAAAGTCAAGATCCATACCTCAATCTTTTAAAATAACACAATTTTGTGCCTGGTCTCAAACTTTCTTTAGGATGGGGACTACAAATTTGTGTTTATCATGTACAAATACAAGAAAATTCAATGTTTTTTAATCACAATTTGATTTCTTTACAGTGGCACATTACAAAAGTAGTGACTCTAGCTCTTCTACAGACACAGGTATGTTATGAAATATAACTTACTGGTAGAAAGATATTACTGGCAGTTTGTGAATGAATATTATAATAAAATTAACTCACTTGAATTGAATATTTGTAATATTCAAAAATGCTTATTTTCCATTGTCAAATTTAACTGAATATTTAAAAGCTTTTAATTTTATTTCTGAATATTGTCTTTCTTTATGGTGATAGACCAATAATATAAATCATAATGATTATTAAAAGTAATTTCATCGCTAATAAAAACGGTTTATGGTAGTATAGTTGATACAAATATTTTGATTTTTTAAAGGACTTTGTATTTCTTTTGTGTAAAATCAATGTATTACATAATATTTTAGTCCCAGAAACAGACGAAGAAGATAATGTTCCTTCTGTGGAAGATCATGCATTTGGTAAGTGTGATTTGAAACACTTGATATTTCCACATAAATCATTTGATTTTATATAATTTGTAAATATGGGTAGTAATTATCTTAACATTATTAAATTGTCTGTGCATTATTATGTATTAATGATCTTGATATTCAGTCTCTTATGATAAATATGGTGATAGTTTAGTTTTGATTTGACACAAAATGCTTAAACTCAGATAAATGACAATTATTCAATGATATTAAAAGACTGTTTGTTGTTAAGGCCTTAACCACAAAATGATAGTTAAGCGAGAAATAATTGCAGATATATCACATGAATGAATTGTGCCTATTAGCATATCTTTATTATTTTTATTATTATTATTTGATGCTTAACTGTCATTGCTGTAATTAATAAAATCATTTATTTATTATTACAGATTCATTTTCTTCACAAATGGAACACAGTGAATCCAGTTCTACAAGTACTATGTCCGCATGTGATAGAGAAGGTAACCAATTTCTTCTTATAATCCTTGTTTTGAGAAAAGCAGAACTCTGGATGAGTCGCCTAGTACATTCAATCAGAGATGTTATATTTCCGATCCTTAAAGATCATTCAGCATAACATAATTGTTGTGCTTGTTTTAACTCTTCGGCATTTTCTAGTTGGGTTGTTCCAATATTCCTACTTGAATAATGTTGAATCACCCTTAGGATATGCTTTTTAACTTTTTCTTGCATATCAGACTGGCGTTTCCGTTAGTTTTACCCATGCCGGAAATTTCATCTGGCATGGGGGGTTCCAGATGAGTCGCGTGCTGTACAATGGCACGATAAAGATGACGTCATTTTACCGTTATGAATGATTTTGTAATTCATGCGCTGTTGAATGAAAGTAGTTACGGTTGTAATGATATAAATTTTCATTGAAAATGAAGATAAAGAATATAAAATATAATGGAATATGGTAGAATATGCAAGAAAAAATATCTGACATATGTTTGCGGTTCGGATCGGAATATCCGTCCCTCGGTCACCCGCCCATGGGCGGTAACTCGGCAAGCCTCGTTACCGCCCAATGGGCGGGTCACCTCGGGACGGATATTCCGATCCGAACCGCAAAATATGACAGATATTATTAGTCTTTTGACGTCTTATCTGTGATATGCAGGCTTCATAACCTCTGAATATCTTTCAAAATTCCATTTTATTGAGTTCCGCCCATTGTTTTCTCATTTAGAGCACACGCATTCTTTTACTTAGGGGCCATACGCGGCTTTTCATGGAATGGCACGGAAGTGTCACATTGAAGGTTCAATGATAACCGCCGTATGAACACATCTGCAGATGTTTCTAAATTCAAAACTTTACCATTTCATGTTTAAATGTTGAATTCTGCTTAAGCCGGTGCTAGGGGGTGTGGACGGTGGTTTACACTTAACTGTACAGTCCATGAACAGGCTCAATCACACCGAGCCTGCAACATCATCAGTTTTTTAGCTCGACTTTTCTATGAAAAGGCGTTGGCGTCACACCTTGGTTAAGTTTTTCGTACCACCCCACTTTATTTCAGAAGTATTACAAGTATGGCTTTGAAACTTACCATACTTGTTCACCATCATAACCTCCATCTACAGACAAGAGTACATAACTCTGTCAAGGTTTTTGACAGAATTATGGCCCTTTTTTGACTTAGAAAGTGTATTGAGCTTGGTTAAGTTTTTTGTACCACCTCACTTTATTTCAAAACCATTGGAGGTATTGCTTTGAAACTGACCATACTTGTTTACCATCACGACCTTCATCAACAGACAAGAGGACATAACTCTGTCAAGGTTTTTGACAGAATTATGCCCCTTTTTGACTTAGAAAATACATTGAATATGGGTAAAATCCACTTATTGCCTTAACCCTTTGAGATATTGCTTTGAAACTTTTAATGCTATTTCACATCATTACCCCCATCTGTACGCAAGAGAAGGTAACTCTGTCAAGGATTTGTTTTAAAAATTAAGGCCTTTTATCGACTTAAAATCTTGGTTAAGTTTTTAGTACCAGTCCACTTTTTGACTGAACTGTTTGAGATATTAATTTGAAAGTTGGAATACTTGTTTACAATCATGATTCCCAAACATGTCCAGGAGAAGGTAATTCTGTCAAAGATTTTATTTGAATTATGGCCCTTAACTGTCAATGTTTTGTATTATAGGCAAGCACTAAAAAACTTAAAAAATCTAAAAAAATTCATTCCTATCCACTTGTTCACTTTACCATAAATTATGTCATATAAACATTGCTGTAATATTCAAGGGTATCAAACAACTAGTTATTTTATCTTACCAGCCCTCTTTTGACTTAAACATTTCAAACTTTGCTGCAGTGTTCAAGGGTATCACACAATTCAGTAAAATAATTCTTCACTAAATATCTTAATGCTCATGGCCATTGTTCACTTTAAAAATACAGAGATTCTTGTATTGCCTTTTACTGCAAAAACTTTTTTTATTGGCAAGCAATAAAAAAGTCGAGCGCGCTGTCTTACGGACAGCTCTTGTTTGTTTTGGACTTTCTTTAGGGATTCTTATTTTCAGTAGTTACTCAAAATTATTAAATGATAATAAGAAATAACATAATTATATAATTAGTCTGCCACTGACATTGAGGTTGATGCAAATTATTGACATACATGTTTATTTATATATCAGTATAAACCATTTTTATGTTTTGGGGAACTTCAGTCAGAGAGTGACTTTTAATTTCTGATCGGTCTGTTTTTGTTAACCTTTTAAACTATCTATTGGTCATCTCACTAAAAGGACAGCTGCATTGATATCATAATTATGTTTTTATTGTTATGTAATGTTTTAATTGAAATTCATTCTCAATTATTTTAAATTATTTTAACCTATTAGGTGGTGATGTGTGGTTTCTATTTGTCCTCCACTACCTCTAGTTCAATTATTTTTAATTCAATTTTCAGATAACGAAGTTTTACCTCCACTTCCTGTGAAAACAGATTACCTGTATGAGAAGAAAATTAAAGGTAAGAAGTTCATTTCATTTTAATATAGTAATATATATGTGAGCTCCAAGAAAAAGTGTTAAGTTTTAGGGGGGTATATAGGAGTAAGATTGTCAACAAGTCTATTATAAGTCATTAGAATTTATACAAGAGTTGGTCAGGATGTGAAGTTAAGCACCTCGGGTGGACTAATTCAGTTTTGTTAGAGTTATTGCTCTTGACTTAGTAAATATTTGCAATTTTCAACTTTTGTCGCAAGTAGCATAAAAAATGGTTGACCTAGAGTCATGAAACTTTACATAAATGAGTAATGAGTAGAATTATTACCCTTGACTAGTATAAATTTGCAATTTAAGAGATATTGCCCTTAACTACGAAAAAAATTGCAATTTTCGACTTGTGTTGCACATCGCTGAAAAGGTATTTGACCTAGAGTCATGAAACTTTAAAGAAAAATTGGTCAGCATGTGTAGTGGGCACCTGGGGATTTTGTTATGGATTGATGCAACATTTGTAGAGCTATTGTCCTTGACTTAGTATAAAATTGCAATTTTCAACTTCTGTTGCATGTAGCCCATAAATGTTTGACTAAGAGTCGCGAAACTTTACAGAAATGTTTGTCAACATTTGAAGTTAAGCACCTTGGGATTTCTTGTAGATTTTAACAGAATTTGTAGAGAAAGTGCCCCTGACAAAAAGGTGTTGTGTGAAAGTTTGAAGCATATGTGTAGTTGTACAAAAATCAGTATGTCAACGGTAGAAAAATTGGATGTTGTTTTTATGACCCAACCACATATGGTAGGGAGAGTCATGTAGAATTTCCTTTTGTCTATCTTTCTGTCATATTGTCCTGCTGACATGTCAATAGACAGTGTAGTGTGGGGGCACCTGTGTTGTATGCATGGACACTGTCATTTCTAGTTTGTCTTATATGAAAGAAATTGTTTCATTGAATCTGTTGGTCAGACTTAGATATATGTTTGCAGGAATAATCCTTTAAGATATTAGTCTACAGGAATGATCCTTTAGTGACCATCTACCATTTTTTGATGAAAAGTTTTTGTTTGATTTTGATAATATTTTACATATATGATCTGTTAAAATGTTGTTCAAATATGATTTTTTATTGGCATAAACAAACACTTGAAAACAAGTCACTCAGTTGTCTGTACTATTTGATATTCAGGTATTATTTATAATAAAAATATTCCTGAAAACAAAGATAGGTTTTGTCCGGCTTGAAAGTTTGTTTTTAATTTAAGATATTTATTGCTTATATTTGAAAAGTTGGCATAATCACACATTCAATATAAGAATTGTTGCTTACACATCTATTTAATCTTTATCACTTAAATTGTAAACATTTCAACAGTAGAATATAGTTCAAAATCTTTCCAGGATGTTTATAGACCTTTTTACGACATGGTTCGTTGCTATGAAAAATTGACCGGAATTAGAATTTTCTCACGCATGCACAATCTGCGTAGGGCAAAAAAATGCATCGCCCTACATAGAAATAATTAGTAGAAGTTCATAGACAATTCCGAGTAAGTTCAAGGTAAACAGTAAAAAATTATATAAGATAGCTTTTAACAAATATAGAAAAGATGACTTTATAGCTTTGTGGCAAAGAATGCCATAAAAAGGCATGGAAAAGATACTTGTTTAAGAATTTACGATCACGGATCTGACACTGAGATCATTTTTTTTTAAAGAAGACGTGGAAATATATCTATTAGCAAATAAAAAGTGAATTATTTACTGTTGAAACAGTTCATATAAAATCAAAAGAAATTTTATAACATGAAAAAGAGATTAATTATCATTCTGAAAAAATATCAGAACAGGTGATTATGCATTTTTAGAGTTCAATATACCTGATTGTTTCCTTTATCCGATTTGCCTGTGATGCAAACAGAAAAATTTCAAGTCACATAAATAAATTTTAAATAATTAATTATTTTTTTTCCAAAATCTTGAGTTGTTTGGAAGAGATATAAGACACATTTTATCTGCTTCTTCGTAATACATGTTTATTTTTAATAATGCATGTCACACAATTTTTCTCTTCTCAAAATCCATAAACATTGATCGGTATATTTAAAAGTTACATAAATTACCATTTTAATGAGCGTAACTGATTAACTTATTATCATGGTATTTAAACGTCCTGGTTGAATGAACAACCGTTCGCGTGCCAATCTGTTTGACACTTGCCGCCTGACCAATCCAGTTATTCAATGGAAGTGTACAATACAAATTGTGTAATATTATGTAATACAGGGGTAATACCATTTTATCTTTAACACCCTGCTGTTTCAATTTAAATTTCTGATGGAAAAGTAGTATAATGATACCTTAAATATATGACATGTGTGTGCCAAGTTTTTGACCAATGAATTATTAGTCCCGCACATTTTCTTATATCTGTTTAAAAAACAAATTCACGTTTTCAGTACTTACCGCCTTAAGTCATCCAAAATTAATATTTTTTGGGTGACAAAACATGAAATTGCATCTATTAAAGCCTTAAAGTATGATAAACTGTAGACATCGTTATTTCGTTTTTGCCCTACGTAGAATGCGCATGCGCGAAATGCAACATTCATTGCTATGGAAAATCGTATTGTAAAAAGGTCTATATTATCTTATAATAGATTGTACAACAAGCACGACAGCCTAGATATGTTGCTTGATCATAATTATAGTTTTATTTTTTAAGCATTATTCTCTTCTGTTCTGTGTCAAAGTGCAATTAGGGATTAAGTTATACATCAACTATCATTGATACATCTAGTTTTGTATTGTTGTTACATGACAGAGAATGATTTTAACTAATATTTCTTTGGTAATTGTAAGTTATTCTTTGCTTTTAGGGCACAGTGTGAAAGTACACCTCATGAATCTTGCTCAACCAGTTAGGGAGAGAAGAGTCAGGGATTTAAATACAGCACATGTACATGCCTTGTCAAAGAGCTTCTTGGAATCCCCAGGTAATGAATAATTTCTTAATTAATAATTTATCGTGCTTGGTCTGTGCATGGATTTTCAGACAACTATATGAAAAAATCTTTATTAATTAATTATTAGTTTCTGTTAAACATACCTGTCAGAGTATAAAACTAAGATAACATGAACAAAAAAGAATAAAAGTGTAGTGTAGCCTTGTTATAGAAGCAGATTATTGGTCACAGACCATAAAATGTTTCTGCTTTATAAGTTTGAATAATTCCTTACTTTTACGACTCTCACATTTTAGAATTTATCAACTTTGTGTATTCAAATCTATATTTGATGAGGATTTTTAATAAATTAAGAAACTGGAATTAAAATTTCTCTTCACAGGAAACATGATTCTTTTTTTATTGTGTCGCCTTGAAAAAGGTGACATATAGGGAATACTTTTGTCGGCGGTGTTGGCATCGTTGTCTGCGCCGGCATGATTCTTTTTTTATTGTGTCGCCTCGAAAAAGGTGACATATAGGGGTTACTTTTCTTGGCCGTGTCAGCGTCATTGTCGGCGTCCCCTTAAGCTTGTCCGGAGCATAAGTCAGTCATTATAAGTCGGATTGACTTCAAACTTGGTATGCATGCTTCTTATAATGACCCGAAGGGCAGTGCACAAGAACCGGTACTCTGCACTTCTGAAAATTTGAGTTATTACCCAATGTTAATTTTCTTACTTTATTTTTGTCCGGGCCATTTCTCCTAATGTATAAAAGCTATGGACATGAAACTTCATAGGATAATAGATCTTATTAAGAAAAAGTGCAGTGCACAAGAACCGGTACTCTGCAATTCTTATTTTTTTAGTAATTGCCCTTTGTTAATTTTCATACTTTAGTTTTGTCCAGGCCATTTCTCCTAAAGTATAAAAGCTATGGCCTTGAAACTTCATTGCATGATAGATCTCATTAAGAAGAAGTGCAGTGCATAAGAACCGTACTCTGCATTTCTTATTTTTGAGTAATTGCCCTTTGTTAATTTTCATACTTTATTTTTGTCCAGGCCATTTCTCCTAAAGTATAAAAGCTATAATCTTTAAACTTCATAAGATGATAGATCTTATTAAGATAAAGTGCAGTGTAAAAGAACAGGTACTCTGCACTTCTTATTTTTGAGTAATTACCCTTTATTAATTTTCATACTTTATTTTTGTCCAGGCCATTTCTCTTGAATTATAAAAGCTATGGACTTGAAACCTCATAGGATGATAGATCTTATTGATAAGAAGTGCAGTGCACAGAAACTGCTGCTGTTCACTTCTTATTTTTTGAGTTATTGACCTTTGTTAATTTTCATATTTCATTTTTGTCCTGTCCATTTCTCCTAAACTATTATTGTTCACAAGGCGACACATCCGACTCGCGGAGTTCTAGTTTTCTTTTAATTTGTACAAACTAACAAAAAAGACAATATTCAAGGTAACTGATGGGCATCTATTCAATTAATAGGTCCACTTTTCAAAGAAAACCATCTTTGTCGTCAGCTAACCTTTTTGTTAGGTCCATTTTCTAAATTACAATAAAAGCTTAGTATAATACTCTTCAAACATGGTACACATTTATTGGTTGATAGGACACATTTCATAAGTGCATTTTATCTGAAAATTATTTTTTGTAAACTTAGATTTCTAGGCCAAGGTAACCTTTTTGTAAAGGCCCATTTTCTCTGCAACAATCATACTTCCATTTTCTCTGCAGGAATCATAGGAATTCTGTTCATACTTGATATACATGTTTACATCATTTCACAAGGACAGGTTATCATAATATTTATTTTTTCAAACTAATGCCCTTTTATGACTTTTTTCTAAGGTCAAGTTTTCAAAATTTGACTAGGTTAATCACTACAAATGTGTCAAATGTTTTCACATAAAACTTGGTATAATTCAAATTTGAAATGGATTAGTAATGTGATGATAATTGTAAAAACCTTTTTTGTTTATTATTCCCCTTTCTAACTAAGACTACTTCCCGTTTTCTGCAGGGTTATGATGGTTAGTTTGACATAATTTTGTTGGGTTTTTTATTTGGCTTAAGAAAACCAATTCATTTTTTTAGTTCAACATTTATTTTTAGCTCACCTGTCACAAAGAGTCTAGTCGCTTTTCGTCCAGTGTCGGTCCGTCCGAAAACTTTTGCTTTAAACGACATCTCCTTATAAATAGCTAAGCAAATTTCATTCAAACTGAAAAGGAATGTTCCTTTGGTAGTCAACTTAAAAGATTGTTAAAAAATTTTAATTCCATGCAGAACTCTGGATGCCATGGCAACCGAAAGGAGAAACTTCAAAATATTTTCAAAAAAACAAAAGCGCTAAAACTTAAATATTTGGCATAAAACATCTTCTAGTCATTGTCTACCAATAAAAAAGCCCTTGGGTCAAAATTTGCCTCGCCGGGGGGGGGGGGTGGCATTGTTTTTCCCTTCATGTGTATAGTAAAAACTTCTTTTAAAAACCACAAAGAGCTAGAGCTTAGATATTTACCATGAAACATCTTTTAAAGGGTGTCTACCAAGTTTTTTCAAATAAAAGCCCCTGGGTTAAAATTGACCCCGCCCGGGGCCTTTATACAGGTGAGCGATTTCAGGGCCATTATGGCCCTCTTGTTTAAAAAAAAGTACAGTTATTGTTACAGTCATGATGGCATTGCCTTTACCTGGGGTCAAATTGGCACTGCTCCAGGGGTCATTGATTTTCCACATATGTTCACATCTTTAGGACCTGTTGTTTTCCCTAACCAATAGCAACCAGTAATGATTTTACACATGCATCTTTTGTTACTGTTGTATTCCCTTACCAATAGCAACCAGTAATGTCTTTATGCATGCACAATTTCAGATACAATTATGAACTTTGTGATATGAATTTGAGAGTTAGATTTTATACCTGTTTTTGACTATAGTTTACAATATTACTTGTTACTTGTGATGGATAATTTTTATATTCAGAGCACTCATGACCCACTTGCTTAAAAAAATAATGGTGATTATTATTGATTTTGCTCTGTTTAGCAAGGCAATGAATTGGATCTAGCCATATGAGATGTCAGATTTTTGCATTCCATAATGTCACATGACAGCATCAATTTCACCTTCTGACATTAACAAACAGCCCTCAGTGTCACACTGGGTTCAAAGATTCAGTTATTGGTATAATGTAAAAAATACACCTTTGTAAGGCATAATAAAAAAACTTATCCCGCTACTAGTGGTAGAAAAAAAATCCCCATAATAAGATAATGTCAAACCCAGCTTATTTGCTTCGGTTGGCATCACTCATTTTTAGATAAATGTTTTGTTCTATCAATTTTAGTGCAATGCCATATTTATATATTGATTTTATGAATGCATTGGGGCAGTGCATGCATAAACTTTCAATCAATGAATTGCTATCTATTTGAACTCTCTTATGATTTAATTGAAGCAGAATTTAACATGTATCTCAGATGTGTGTACCATAATTTATTTCAGGTGGTGAATTCCAGCTTTTGGCTGGAAACATCTTGTCAGGGGATCTTGAGAATGCCATGCAAGAGAGAGGTATGAGGATCGAGGTGATCGGAGGCAACCATACAAAGGCCGCTCTAATGACTTTGTATCGGCAAGGATTACGAAACCCATATGTCCAGATGACATTATATGAAGGCCTGACTGATGAGGAGGCTCTCAAGGTGGGTCTCCATCACAATGAAACCAACCTGAAGGCGAAGCCTATGTCGTTTTTAGATAAGGTGGATGTTATTGTGAAGCTAAAACAAGACATCAAAGCTGTGGCATCAGTTTTTCAGAAGAAGGTAAATTTTCTTACATTATTGAAAATCAAACAGCACCATTAACGATATATTTGTATCCAATTTCAATAAATGTTATATTGAATGTAATTGAATCTGAATTTATTTGATTTTATGTTTTGGAAATTTTCTTCTTTGTTCTATTAATGGTTTATTAATTTTGATAGTTGTTTTTTTTCTTTGTGACTATAAATGGTGTCTTCTTTAAACTTAAGATGAACATTTTTTGTTATACTCACATCATGTATGGCAATGTTCATAAGTCTAGCATCTTTATTTCAAGAGTTATCTCCTCTTTAAGAATTTTGCTTTTAAAATGTTATATTTTGGTAACAACTTGTAGGGATTTACATTTAGAGATTTTTTAGTCTGTCTGTCTGGCCATTGCTAAATAACTGTTTCCTTAGATCATTTTTAAAGAACTTGGAACTTTTCCAACAAATTTACTTAAAAGGAGAAAAGTTGAAACATTAGATATACATTTTCATTCTGAGAAAATTGGGTATTTTGATTATCTGTTGTATAAACATTATATCCTTACTAGACAGGGAAACTTAACACAATACAGACAACATAAGAGCACATAAGATTTAAGTTCATTCATACAGTGGCATAATTAAATGGTCAATGGCTATCAGAATGTTGACAGGGTTCTTTCTGTGAGGGGATTGTGAGTTATTGCACAATTAAGTTACGGCTTCAGGGAATAAAGATGTTGATAAAATGTTTTTTTCGCAACCTCATTTGATAAATTACTGTAAATTGTAACCCGATAATTACCAAATTATTGATTCTCTTTATGAATATTAACCAAATGATAACAAACAAATAGCAAAATAATGCAAATGATGAGCACATTATAGATAAGTCCTACATGTCTAAATACATGTACATAATATATTGTTCAATAAAATGCCCCGGATAAAATACCGCTGCTGAAAAACCCGATTACACCGGTACAGGTATGTCTTTTTCACGGCCATTAACATTAGTGAGCATGTTTTTGCCACTTCGTTTTTAGCAAACTTCGGATATAACAAATGATATTTAAATGTCCCATTGAATTTGTTATAAGTGGAGTCGACTGTACTTCATTTTTTCGGTTTTGCAGATCATTAATCAAAACCATATTTGGAATTGACCGGATTAAATTATCTCTCTCATTGCATTCTTTTGAATTTTTCTTGTCAGCAGTAAAAGACCATGAATATTCAAGGGACTAACTTGAAACTTAAAATATATACATAGTGCGTGGAAATGTGTATGGTATGAGACCATGGATTGTTCTGGGTTTATTTTGAATTATCTTCCATTTATTTTTCCTTAGTGAAAGGTAGCTAGTACATTACTTGAAAGATTTTAATGTCAGTCTCTTGAACAACACTGTAGCTATCATCTTAAGGAAAACAGCAAAATTTACATATGTGAACATTGATTAATTTGATACTTTCTCTGTTTCAGAATGGTCGTCAGGTGCGAAATGACTTGGGCGTACATATGGCTGTATCGAGGTGGCCAAACGAGATTATTGAACGCTTGCACCAGGTTGACCAAAAATGGTGTTCAAAGAAGCCACTCTCACAAACCCTTTTGAGAGGGCTTATAAAGCACAGTGAAATGAGGAAGTATATGGACAAGGGAACAGAGATTTTAGTTCAAGAAGGGGTTCAAGCTTTTAAGGAAAAAATGTAAGTCATCTTTTGAAAAATGTTCCTGCAAATAAAGAATCAAGAAAAATTAACAAAAAATTAAAAAAATAATTTTGTCTCCTAATTTGATGAACAATGTTTGAGATAATAATTTCCTTAATAGACAAATATGTATATGAATAGTGTTTCTTTGTAATGCTAAGCAAAATGTCTGCCCTTGTCTGTGCTCATAAATATAGAGGAATTACTTAAACATGACAATTCTGTTTTTGTCTCTATAGAATTCAGACTGACAGCATGTCATATGCCATAATCAGAAGATTAAGTTAAAGTTTAAAATTTAATATAATACTGACATGTAATTTTAGCTGGTGAATATTAGAGGTTAATACACATCAGAGTAGGGTCTCAAGATGATAATCAACCCACTAAATAATGGCCCAGAGGTCTTGAGATCGAGGGCATTATTCTTTCAGGGCAGATTAATACTTTCCTGCCTGTCTATGATCTGTTTTTAAAGTCTTTAATACATAGTAGCACAATTCTTAATTAGATCAACTTTGGTGTTTCTGTTTTAGTTATTTATAAAGGATGCATCCCTTATATGTATACAAAGTTACTAAGTCCACTTCTGTAGAATTGATTTTTTACCAAATAAAATTGTTGGGTTTTTTTTCCAGTAAAAAAGTTTTGGTACAAATCATGCTTATATTTTTAAGTTGTAACAAAATAATTAAGCAGCCCGTGCTGAAAACCTGCTTTCACTTTTAACAACCTTTTTGGATGACATAAAATTTGACATGATTGTTTCAGTTTTTGCACCTGCTCATGTTCAGCGGGCCTATTATGATTACAGGCTCTTAGCACTGGCCGATCATGTGATATTCATAGTCAGTTGAAATCAAAGGCAATTTTGATATTATATATAGTAACAAGTGTTGAGTTGTGAAATGTACTGACAATTAAAATTATATTGATTGAGGTGACAGGCGAAGTCAGCTATTAAGTGCATTTTTTATGCTTTTACTTTAAGATTGCTTAAAAAATCTGCTTTTGAACACCAAATTTTCAGCAAAATTAATTTCTAGGTGAAAAAAAAGTTGAATACACAGTGAAAATATTCTGATTATCTGACCTGTTATCTCTTATGAAATGTTATGTCTCGACCAATTTTGGGAGAAGGTATTTCAAAGCTTACTTAATGAAATATCTTATAATCTGATGTGTCTTAAAGCTGCATGCCGCCAGATGAGCTAAAATATTTCAATGAAAGCAAACTCAAGAAAAATGTAATTTTAGGATATGCAAAAGATTAAAGTAATAATTTACATGTTATGTGCGATAAATGATTGATTTTTCACTATTTATTACCATATTACTATTGCATTACTATTTTGAATATTTTGATCTCATTTTTTATTTCATAACATTTTATTTTTAAAATCATTTTCAAACTTTTTCATGACAATTAGCTGTATTTCTCGAGGCTTGCTGCTATAAACCATACAGTTTGATAAACCTGTTTTGTACATTTTGTGACTTTTACAAATTTGTTAAATGTACCTTTCTCTCACAGGAATCAGTGGATGCAAGTGGAAGGAGTTGGGCATTTCAGGAATAAGAAGCCAACAGAAGCAAAAGAAAAAACAACAGTGAAAGAAACAGTGAAAGAAACAAATGAGAAAGAGCATTCTGTGAAGGTAAGCAGACAGATTCATGCTTCAGAATAAAATTGTCTTTAAATTTTGTAGAATTATTTATTAAGCTTTCTAAACATGTGCATTTTCCCTATTCACAAATTATCATCTTGCTAATTGATTGAACTGGCAAATTCAGATAAGTAATATCACTTGAATTTTCAGAAGCTATAAGAAGTCCTTTTAAATAATTGAAAAAAAGATGTTTGCTTGAATGTCAGTAACAAGGATGTGCTCAGTTTCCCCTAGAGCCTTACAGTTTTCTACAAAAAATATACAGATTATGCTCAATGGATCAAACTTGTCTCTTTCTTTTGAATCTAATGTTTCACATATAGACATATTAAGCAAAACACATACATTTTGGGAACTATACAGCCTTAAGTTTGGATGTTTGGCATAATTATAGCATTATGAAATAAAAAATGTTTTATTGATAATGGTTCCAGATTTTTATGGCCATGCCTGATGCAACCTAATGACTTAGTGATGCATTGAAATATTAATACTTATTATTGTCGCAAAGGATCAGAGGCGATGCTATATGGCCCATGACCTTTTGATGACCATGACTTTCAAGGTCACATTATTGAATGTAGGCTAGATTGTTATAACTTTGTTATTTACTCATGGACTTGATTTATATTAAGACAAAAAATAACAGCTTATGACAAACCCGTTCACTAAATAATTCAAATATGACCTTGACCTTTATTTGACCATGACAGTCAATATCAAATTATTTAAATTAGCTAATTAAATTGTCATAACTTTGTTATTCATATATATGGATTTCATTTGTATTTTAACATATTAAGAACACTCAGACAAAATCAGCATGCTGATTTATTTTAATGTGATCTTGACGTTTAATCCACTTCGGCCATCAAGGTCAAAATTTTTGAATATGCTGATATTGTCATAAATTTGTTATTTATTTATGTATGAGAAAAGATTCTTATGAAAAAACTGACATGACAATTGATACAAAATGTGTTTTTGACCATTGTATGATTTTGACCGCAAGGCCATATTGTTGAATTTAGCTTAAATTGTCATTATTTTGTTGTTTTTTATTATTGAATAATTTAATTCATACTGGGATAAAAACACACCACTTAGACACTGGTGAGTTGATAATTTTTAATAAAGACCATCAAGGTCAAGTATGAAATTTCCATAAAATATTTTGTACCAGAAAATTGTATTGTATAACTATATGCTACCATATTCTACCTTTGATATTTTTGACTTTAAAAGTAATAAAAAATGGTGTGTGGCTCTGGCTAGCAGTGGCTGTGATAGAGTTTATCAATTTCATCCATATTCATTATTTTCCATCAAAACAAAATTTGAATAAATTGTTTTGTTTCAGCAAAATTACCAAGTTGGAGATGTAGTAATGGCTAAATGGAAAGACGGCAGAAAGTATGATGCAGTGATCAAGAGAGTTGAAATAAGTAAGAAAATTGGTATTTTTTTGAATAAATATTATTTTCAGATAATTATTTTATGTGAAAGCTGGAGAAGTAGTAATTCCTTAAGAATTTGGTGAATTAATACAGTTTGGATAACAGAATTCTTATAACTTTACAATGAATAGACCAGAAAAAAGTCTCTTGATATGTTTAGAGCTTTGAACATAACATTTGCATTACACAAAACTGTATCAGCATGAGATTATTTTAGGGTAATGAATTATATCGTTCATTTCTAATTAACACTTTACCCTCAGTGTCAAATTAAGATAAAATATACGATAAATTTGCTAAAATAGTTAACCAATTCATGTCAAAGAAATATCATATTATTTCTACTAACTATTAAGCTGAGGATATTACTATAAGCAATACAGACTGTAGAAAAGTTAAATAAACAGTGATAGACCTGTAACTACCAAATGCAATACATTTAATCATGTTTAATGTGATATATTTTTCAGTTTACCATGTGCAGTATTTAGAAGACAATGTTCAAAGGAAAGTGAGTGAAACTGATATAGAAGAAAAGGATATACAGTAAAAAGTATATGGAGATCTGTCCTAGCTACTTGCCCCGGCGTCGGCGTCTGTGTTCAGATTTCAGATTAAAGTTTTGTTGCAGTAAAATATTTTTCAATATAACTTTGTCACTTCTTAAGGTATCAACATCAAACTTCAAATATATGTTCCTTATCATCTACCGCATCTTATGTGACAAGGTTCATAACTCTAGCACCAATAGTTTCAGATTTATCTCCCCTTGAACTTAGAATTTTCCTTCAAAAATACTATTTTTTACTGTTATTTCTTAAGGGATATACTTCATACTTTAAATGTATGTTCCTCAGCATCAACCACATCTTATGTGACAAGGTTCATAACTCTAGCACCAATATTTTGAGATTTATCTCCCCTTGAACTTAAAATTTTCCTTAAAAAATACTATTTTTTACTGTTACTTCTTTATTTCTTAAGGGATCAACTTCATACTTCAAATATATGTACCTTATAATTAACCACATGTTACGTGACAAGGTTCATAACTCTAGCACCAATATTGCAAGAATTATCTCCCCATAAACTTAGATTTTTTTTACTTGAAAAATGTTACTTTTTACTATAAATTTTTTAATTTTAAAGGTATCTACCCAAACTTAAAAGGATAGTATTTGGTTTGAATTAGATTAAAAGAGGCGGACTAGTCCTCCTTTTCATAATTTAACTGTTTGCATTTGATTATTTTATGAAGGTGGATTGGTCCGTCATTTTATTTCTAAAGACTCCTTGATCTTTAGTTTGAGTTTCTTTAAATAAGGCAGACTAGTGCTCCTTTTCGTTTCGTAAATAAAGTGGATTAGTCTGTCATTTAAGGTTATGTTTTATATTGAAAAAATAGATAGTATTTGATTTGAGTTTGACTGCAAAAAGCGGACTAATCCTCCTTTTTGTTTAATAATTTAAATGTTCAGTTTTGATTATTGTTAGAAGGTGGATTAGTCCGTCATTTCAGTTATTTTTTTCTGAAGACTCCTTAAATAAAATGAATAGTATTTGATTTGAGTGACTAGTCCTCCTTTTTATTTCGTAATTGAACTTGTTAGTTTTGATTATGGTAAAAAGGTTGACTAGTCCGTCATTTTAGTTAACGTTTTCAAAAGACACATTGAAAAAAATGCATAAATGCATAATTAAACTGTTTATTTTTTTATAATTGTTTTAAGGTGGATAAGTCAGTCATTTCAGTGAACATTTTCTTAAGACTCCTTAATCTCTAGCTTGAGTTAACTGAAAAAGGCGGACTAATCCTCCTTCATGTTTTACAATTTAATTTTTGTTTTGTTTTGATTATTGTATAAATGTGGCTGTGTCATTTCATTTAATGGTTTCTGTAGACTCCTTGATCTTTATCTTGAGTTTCACTGAAAAAGGCGGACTAATCCTCCTTCATGCTTTTTAATCTAATTTTTTTTTTGAATATTGTATGTAGGTGAATTAGTCTGTCATTTCAGTTAGACTCATTGATTTTTATTTTGAGTTTCACTGAAAAGGCGAACTTATCCTCCTTCATGTTTTACAATTGATTTGTTTTGTTTTGATTACTGCATAAGGTTAATTAAGCCGTCATTTCATTTAATGATTTCTGTAGACTCCTTGATCTTTATTTTTAGTTTCACTGAAAAAGGCGGACTAATCCTCCTTCATGTTTTATAATTGAGTTGTTTAGTTTTGGTTATTGTATAAAGTTGGATTAGTCTGTCCTATCAGTTTATGTTTGAAAAATGCAAAGTATTTGTTTTGACTTAGATTGAAAAAGGCGGACTAATCCTCCTTTTTGTTTTTATAGTTTTTAGTTTTTTACTTATTGTATGTATAAAGGTGGATTAGTCCGCCTTTTGAGTTAACATTTTCTTAAGATTAATTGAGAAATATTACGTCTTTGGTTGAGGTTACATTGAATGAGGCGGACTAGTCCTCCTTCATGTGTTAAAATTGAACATTTTAGTTTTGATAATTGTGTAAAGGTGGATTAGTCCGCCATTTCAATTAATGATTTCTAAAGACTCTTGATCTTTATTTTGAGTTTCACTAAAAAAGGCGGACTAATCCTCCTTCATGTTTGATAATTGAGTTGTTCAGTTTTGGTTATAGAGTTAAATTGAAAAAGGCGGACTAATCCTCCTTCATGTTTTATAATTGAGTTGTTCAGTTTTGGTTATAGAGTTAAATTGAAAAAGGCGGACTAATCCTCCTTCATGTTTGATAATTGAGTTGTTCAGTTTTGGTTATAGAGTTAAATTGAAAAAGGCGGACTTATCCTCCTTCATGTTTTATAATTGAGTTGTTCAGTTTTGGTTATTGTATAAAGTTGGATTAGTCTGTCATATCAGTTTATGTTTGAAAAATGCAAAGTATTTGTTTTGACTTAGATTGAAAAAGGCGGACTAATCCTCCTTTTTGTTTTTATAGTTTTTAGTTTTTTATTTATTGTATGTATAAAGGTGGATTAGTCCGCCTTTTGAGTTAACATTTTCTAAAGATTAATTGAGAAATATTACGTCTTTGGTTGAGGTTACATTGAATGAGGCGGACTAGTCCTCCTTCATGTGTTAAAATTGAACATTTTAGTTTTGATAATTGTGTAAAGGTGGATTAGTCCGCCATTTCAATTAATGATTTCTAAAGACTCTTGATCTTTATTTTGAGTTTCACTAACAAAGGCGGACTAATCCTCCTTCATGTTTGATAATTGAGTTGTTCAGTTTTGGTTATAAAGTTAAATTGAAAAAGGCGGACTAATCCTCCTTCATGTTTTATAATTGAGTTGTTCAGTTTTGGTTATTGTATAAAGTTGGATTAGTCTGTCCTATCAGTTTATGTTTGAAAAATGCAAAGTATTTGTTTTGACTTAGATTGAAAAAAGGCGGACTAATCCTCCTTTTTGTTTTTATAGTTTTTAGTTTTTTTATTTATTGTATGTATAAAGGTGGATTAGTCCGCCTTTTGAGTTAACATTTTCTAAAGATTAATTGAGAAATATTACGTCTTTGGTTGAGGTTACATTGAATGAGGCGGACTAGTCCTCCTTCATGTGTTATAATTGAAAATTTTAGTTTTGATAATTGTGTAAAGGTGGATTAGTCCGCCATTTCAATTAATGATTTCTAAAGACTCTTGATCTTTATTTTGAGTTTCACTAAAAAAGGCGGACTAATCCTCCTTCATGTTTGATAATTGAGTTGTTCAGTTTTGGTTATAGAGTTAAATTGAAAAAGGCGGACTAATCCTCCTTCATGTTTTATAATTGAGTTGTTCAGTTTTGGTTATTTGTATAAAGTTGGATTAGTCTGTCCTATCAGTTTATGTTTGAAAAATGCAAAGTATTTGTTTTGACTTAGATTGAAAAAGGCGGACTAATCCTCCTTTTGTTTTTATAGTTTTTTAGTTTTTTATTTTATTGTATGTATAAAGGTGAATTAGTCCGCCTTTTGAGTTAACATTTTCTAAAGATTAATTTGAGAAATATTACGTCTTTGGTTGGTAAAAAAACAAAAACGAAGCGAAATAGGTCGAAATAGGTCTAATTGCATTCCGACTTGGTGCCGGACTTGTATCTGGGCTACTAAACGGCCATGAAACTTGCAGGCTGTGTACCAGACCCTTCATCAATTCCAACAGTGCAAATTGCATGCGAATCGGACCTACGGTTCGAACACAGTGCCAATTGTCGCACCCGTTTTTTTTAGAAACTTTCAGCGCAAACGTATATAAAAAAAACAAAAACGAAGCGAAATAGGTCTAATTGCATTCCGACTTGGTGCCGGACTTGTATCTGGGCTACGGCCATGAAACTTGCAGGCTGTGTACCAGACCCTTCATCAATTCCAACAGTGCAAATTGCATGCGAATCGGACCTACGGTTCGAACACAGTGCCAATTGTCGCACCCGTTTTTTTTAGAAACTTTCAGCGCAAACGTATATAAAAAAACAAAAACGAAGCGAAATAGGTCTAATTGCATTCCGACTTGGTGCCGGACTTGTATCGGACCTACGGCCATGAAACTTGCAGGCTGTGTACCAGACCCTTCATCAATTCCAACAGTGCAAATTGCATGCGAATCGGACCTACGGTTCGAACACAGTGCCAATTGTCGCACCCGTTTTTTTTAGAAACTTTCAGCGCAAACGTATATAAAAAAACAAAAACGAAGCGAAATAGGTCTAATTGCATTCCGACTTGGTGCCGGACTTGTATCTGGGCTACGGCCATGAAACTTGCAGGCTGTGTACCAGACCCTTCATCAATTCCAACAGTGCAAATTGCATGCGAATCGGACCTACGGTTCGAACACAGTGCCAATTGTCGCACCCGTTTTTTTTTAGAAACTTTCAGCGCAAACGTATATAAAAAAAACAAAAACGAAGCGAAATAGGTCTAATTGCATTCCGACTTGGTGCCGGACTTGTATCTGGGCTACGGCCATGAAACTTGCAGGCTGTGTACCAGACCCTTCATCAATTCCAACAGTGCAAATTGCATGCGAATCGGACCTACGGTTCGAACACAGTGCCAATTGTCGCACCCGTTTTTTTTAGAAACTTTCAGCGCAAACGTATATAAAAAAACAAAAACGAAGCGAAATAGGTCTAATTGCATTCCGACTTGGTGCCGGACTTGTATCTGGGCTACGGCCATGAA